GAGAGAGAGAGAGAGAGAGAGAGAGAGAGAGAGAGAGAGAGGGTGCAGTTCGCCACGCGCCGCGGACTCACCTGTTTCCGTTCGAGGCCGAATGTGGATGGAAAGACGGACATCTCCAGGCAGAACACCGCAGGCACAGAGAAGCGGGGAGAGAGAGAGAGGGACTGCGCTTCCGCACGCCCGTTCGCACGTAGATCGACTCTGCTCCGGCCAGAGCCCACCAGACGCGCTGCCCCGAGAAGACAAATGCGCGTGTGAAATGCAGACGAGCTGTTGAAATAGAGACATGAATTCGAATCCTGTCTGAATTAGCTAGGCCCTCTACTTGGACCCGGCCGCGCCATACCACTAACGAAAGAGCTATATCTCTAGGGCCTCGGGGCGGCACTCATCAGATGTGAAGGGGACAAAAGTGCAGGCAGCCCTATCACACGGCGTGTCAAGGCCGCCGACCCCTCGAAAAGGCAAAAGAAAACAAGGGGAAATTGCATCTGCGGCCCATGCCGCTAGTACCTCCGAGCCCCTTTTTCTCGGGGCCCGGAACGCCCTGCGCGCCAAAAAGCCGCCAGCCATTTTGCTCTGGCAGGCCTAAAAAAGAAAGTTGCGGCCTCCATGCCGAAAACAGAAAGTTCGTCTTCTGTTTGACCCGGCCCTGCTTTCCCACCTGGAAAGGTCCGGGTCCGGGGGACCTCTGTTTTGCCCCAGCGGAGCCCAGCATCTCCAATCATAGGTATCCGACGGGTAACGCGGTTTTGGGTGTGACACCTGACCTTGATTAGCAGGGGGGTACGCGTCCCTAGGGAGTAGGTAGCCACCGTCCGTGTAAGACTCTCCGTGAAACTGCTGCATGTTCTGCCATGCTTGACAATTCGTGTGGACCGGGCTTCCCCTGCCTGGCACCATTGCCCCATGCTGCCCATAGCCCTCTGTGCCAATCTCGATATTGCCACCTGGCCAATCTCTTCTGAGGATCCAAGGTTGCATCAGGGGTACTCCGTATCCTGGTCTCTGATCATTACCCCATGTCTGATCGGCCCACTGAGGTTCCTCCCAGTGACCATTCACTCCGCTGAGATCCCAAGGCGACGCTTCCTGCCGCTGGTTCTGCTGCGATGGTCCTCCCCGAGCCTACAGTCCCGGGACTTAAATACCTGTGTCAGTCGTGAGGTGTTGCGCCCTGGTTCTCCCCTCCCTGCTTTGTGTGGTCCCTCCTGCCTCTCGTTGCCGCTGTCCATTGCTGGTACTTTGCTCCTGAGGCCCTCTCCCAGCTGGGGGTGGATGGTCATCTCTCCTGGGTTCTGCCTCTTCCCTGTTTTCCCGTACTTGATTTAGCAGATGTTCACGGTACCGAGCTCTATGTCCCCCCTGCCGTTCGCCATTGCCCCTTCTTCCCAACTCCATCCTAATTCTTGGACAGGTGTCTTCCGTATAGAAGTACCATCTACATCGCCTGCACCAGTCCGTGTAAGGTGTCGCAATCTCCACCTTCCAGCGGGACCCCTTCGGAGATTCGATAACCAACTCATCCTCAATGTTGCCTCTTGCTGCCGGGGGCATGTCAAACTTAACGTTCATGAGCTTCGGCCGATCTTTGTCGTATTCAGGGCTGTGCGCGACTAGCACTTCCCCAAAGCAGGCTATCACCGCACCCTTCAGGTAGTAATAGGCATCTAGCGGGACTCTCAGGGCCATAATCCAGAACCTTGTCTCTGCTTCCGGGGTGTGAACATCCTGGAGTTCTTGTTTTGACAGCCTGGGTTTGAACGTCACCATGTATTCTATTTGCTCCAGCTTTATCTTCAGTTCCTTCTGACGAATCAGCCATTCAACGATTTCCTTGGATTTCGCTACGTATGAGGCGACGTTTTGACCTTCAAACTTCACTCTCCCCCTCCTTGCCTTAGGTTGAAATAGTCGTTCCGCAGTCCATCCATCTTAATACGCTCTTATGAGGTCCTCCTTAACAGACCTCGACAGATTCTTGACTTCGCCCTAGAACGTTACTATAACTGATCTGTCTTTAAGTCATTGTTCCTTCACTTCGTCTATCACCTCGTTCACAACAAATCTTTTCCCTTCCTCGTCTTCGACCAGCCTTCCCAAATTGTCTCCTTCTAGACACATCCCATCATCGTAGCACCTGCTCACCGACTCTCTAACTCTGGATACGTCTTCCCTTGATTGAGGCGGACGCGGCGGTGTGTCACTCCCGGTTCTGCACGGATTATCCATGTTTTTGCCTCCTGGTATCCTTCCTCCCTGTTGTCTGCTCACGATCTAGCTATTAGGAGTCGCGGGCCCCGCCTGGTGTCTCCCCTGCCCTTCCCTGTTCCCTGCTTCCGGATGCAGAGAGTCGGACGAGAGTGTAGTAAGCGAGGTATTCTCTTGTCTCTGTTGCTATCTGTCTTCAATTCTCGCATGTTACCCCCCTCTACACCTTCCTGAGTCTTGTGGATCTTGAGGAAGAGCGGATCCAGCGGAACACTCCGTCTGCTGAGATGTTCCTATGAACTCGAAACCTGGTGGCACTTCGGTACTTGCAGGTATGTACCCTGGGAGTTTGCTGGCTCCGTTCCACGCTTCTACCGTGGAAAGCAGGGCCGGGTCAAACAGAAGACGAACCAAGGCTAGCAACTCCAGGTGGGATGCTTGAAAAGATGACAGTCCGAGGAACAAGGGAGATGACTCGCAAACTTGGAGACATGGCAAGTGGGGTCACACCGTTCCAGAAAGGCCAGGGGAGGAGACGCTACGGGGAAGGGGGACAGACTTGCACCAGAAAGAGAACCCGACTTTACAAGTGGAGCAATCAAAGATATCTCTTTCCTTGCACTCCAAAGTGAGGTGGGGAAGCGAGTGTTGTGAGGAAATAGAATCATCAGGTGAATCGTCGTCCATGGAAAGCTCAGCCGCATCAGGGACCATAGGCAAAGACAAACAGACAAGGGAGGACAGTCGTATACCGGACAGGGGACACAGAGCGGAGACAGTGGACAGAAACAGAATGGAGTCGGTGCAGAGATGTCTGATCCCGCTAATCTGTACCAGGACGACGGAGGGTATCTGCTTTATCACACTCTCGGATGAGGAGGGTGCTCCTCTGATTCCCTCGGTGGAGGTGAACCGTTCGCCAACCCCAGCTATGATTTTCGAAGAAACGAAGAAGATGTACGGGGTACACATACCAGTGAGGCTGATCCCCCATTCGACCATGGCCAGTATCATTTGTGAAACAGTTAAAGGCTATACGAAGATGTACTTTCCACTCCTCGATGCCAGAATCCCGTCAGAAGTGGCGCACACATTATCGCAGGCAGGCATTCGCTGGTTCCACATAGACCTCATCAGGGAACGCAACATGCAAGAGTTGGAACAGATTAAGGTTCTACCAGGAGTATCCGGTTTGATCCTGCTGAATGCAAACGAGAAACTCATCGCAGAAGAGAACTTGCACTCGCCCTTCATTGCCACGAAGCTTACCGAGGAATGGCGGGCGCTGTCGTCCCAGGCCAACTCATCCAGGGGAAGCTCCCAACGAAGTTCTCAACGAAGACCAGGCAGATCTACAGCAGAAGTTACACAGGTGGCTCAAGACCAGGTCAACACGCAAGGAGACAATGCCCGCATCCAACAGCTAGTGGAAGAAAGCAGACTTCATGGATAAAAGTCGAGCGGTGTCGAACGGGAGGGGTAAAAGAAGACGAATACGAAATTAGATAAAGAGAAACTGATTGAGTTCTCTCAATGGTGGGAGGGCCCACAAGTGTGGGCCCCGACGCAAGGTACCCGGGGTGGAGTGGGCATCATGCTACATAGGGACCTACAAGCTCAGGTGATCGACTCAGAGGTGGATATCTGGGGCAAATGGGTGTGGCTCAAGGTGCTCATAGGTAAGGAGGAATGAGCCTTCATGACAGTGTATGCACCGACAGGGGCAGGGGAAAGGGAAAAATTCTTCGCAAGACTGATGCTTCCTGTCCCCAAGGCAGACAGACTGCTTCTTGCTGGTGACTTGAATGTGTCACTAGACGAAGCCCTGAGACCCGGCGCACCGACAACGAATAGGGGGGACGTGAGGACAGTGTTGGAATTCATCCCGGAGCTGACGCTGGTGGACCCATTCCCGACTCTGAACCCAGACGACCTAGGTTACACCTAGACTTCTCATCTGCAGTGGGATAGACAGACGGTGACCAGAAGGCGCCTTGACTACTTCTTTCTTTCAGAACAGGTGATGGACAGAGTCACATCCGTCAGGCACTTCTGCCACCCGATTTCCGATCACAAACCGGTAGTGGTGGATCTTAGACTGAGTTTGGGCTGCGAAAGAGGGAGAGGCTTCTTTCGCTTGAACAACGAGGTGCTAAGGGTCCCCAGAGTGGGGGAATGGGTGTCAGATCACATGACCAAATGAGAGGGAGATAGACATCTGTTCAACTCCAATGCAGAATGGTTGGACGGGGGCCTGGCTATTACATCCGGGGTGCTTAACGTGATCTCAAGAATTATGGCAAGGACTAGGAACAAAAGGGAGGCAGACTGTATGAAGAGGGTGGAAGAGGCGGAAGACCGCATGGAGGGTCACCCTATCTCGTGGTTGGTATGGGCCTCAGAACGTGAAAGGAGGCTTGCGGAGTGGGACAACATCCAAGAGGAGAAGCAAAAGCAATGGACGGAGGTACTGGAAGTGAAGGGGATCGAGACACACGACAAAATGACAAAGGAGACATTCCAAAAACTCCAACCAAGCCGTCTGCAGCAGCAGATGATTGAGCTTAAGCACCCGTTCGCTGAGTCCGCACCCCCAGCCTGTTCCGCAACGGGGATGCTCCAGTACGCAAGGATGTACTATGAGGACATACTGACGTCCAGACGACCGCAAGACGGGGTGAACGTGGACCTGTCAAGTGGGACAGACATGTGGGACAGCACTACTTTGAAACTGCATACGTCAGCCAAGTTGGACCTGGACAGAACTTTCACCGTGGAAGAGCTCTCCCAATCGCTGAAGTCAATGGCGAAGGGAAAGTCTCCAGGAGTGGATGGTCTCTCGGTGGAGTTTTACGCAACAAACTGGGGGGTGCTTGACCCGTTACTAGTGGAACTGTACAATGAGGTGCTAGTAGGGGGTAAGTTGGGCAAGGGCATGACGCATGGGGTGATCACGGTCATGTTTAAGAAGGGAGACAAATCGGAGGTCCGAAACTGGCGTCCAATTTCCCTTCTAAACGTCTCTTACAAGATTCTGGCGAAGGCGTTGACCCACATGTTGTCCAAATACCTTCCGGAGCTGGTGGAGAAGGACCAGGGGGCTTTTGTGCAGGGGCGGTCTATTTTTAACAATATTGTGACAGCCATAGAATCCCTCGAGTTGATCCAGGAGGAGAACCGTGATATGGTGGTTCGCCTTCTGGACCTGGAGAAAGCATACGACAAGGTAGGCACCTTGCGGATAATGGGATTTGGCGAAAGCTTCTGCGCCTGGGTCATTGTGATGTACACCTTCTCCTCGTCGGCAATCATGATTAACGACCATCTGTCCGCTCCCTTCCAATTATCAAGATCGCTACGTCAAGGGTGTCCACTCGCCCCGCTCATCTTTGTCCTGCAACTAGAGGTTCTATTGAACAAGATCCGGTTACACCCCGACATTAGAGGCATCCAGTTACACAACGGCATGGACTGCAGGGTCAAAGCTCTCGTTGATGATCTGTTCGTAGTCAGCGAGAATACGGTCTCCTCTCTCTCAGCCCTTAAAGGGGTGATGTGCGAGTACGCGGAGCTATCAGAGGCAACGGTCAACTGGAACAAATCCACCTACCTTTTACCAACTCAATTCTCGCTGAAGGTGGAGTGGGGCATGAGAAGGGTTGAAGAAGGGGAGGAGGAGAGATTCCTGGGGATCTGGATAAGTCTACAGATTGATGTGTCGGGTCAAGGGTTCCATCTACAATAGAGGATCGCTGCACGACTTAGGTTGTGGGGCTCGGCTTGGCACCTATCATTAGTAGGAAGAGCCTTGGTAGCCAGCGTCGCCCTTTTTTCCATCCTGTGGTTTGTCACCACGGTGAGAGAGCTTGCAAGCGGCATTATAAAAGCAATTCGAAGGCTTGCGGCGTGCTTCATATGGAAACCTCGGGCCGGTCAGGAAGAGGGTTTCATTTCTAAGGTGGCGGTTGATACCTTGTCCTTCCCACGCGAGGAGGGGGGCTTGGGGCTCATAGACCCAGCCCGAAGGAATCAGGCACAACTGCGTAGCTGGGTGTCCAGGGCGGTGATGCAAGGCCCAACCGAGCATTGGGTGGCACTAGCGGAACAGATCCTGATGAAGGAGTGGGACCTTTGCAGACCCAAGGACGTCTGGGCGTGTTTCTTCATGCCGTCGCTCAGGAAGAAAAGACTAAAGTCAAGCTTCTAGGAAGCGATACGCAAGGCATGGAACAAGATGCCCCCGGACGAGCAAACCACCCCGTGTACGAAAGAAGACGTGATGGGCCAGCTACTCTTCGAGAACCAGTATATCCTGGACCGTACGGGTTCCCCCTTACTCGCGGACGGCTCGAGAGGCACATTTGGGTTGGCTTGGATAAAGAGGGGTATAGTCCGGATCGAAGACGTGTGGTCCCCGTGGTTGGGAGGGTGGAAACCGCTGGCGGAGGTGAAGGAGACACTCAAGGGTCTGCGAAGGGTGGAAGAACACTGGACGCAAGTAGTTGAAGCTATCCCATAGGACTAGGTGAGGCTGTTAGGCCCAACGGGAGTCGACCCCCCGGGAACATGGTACGTCTCGGACCTGGGGATGGAGACGAACGAGGTGTGAAAGATGCTGGAGGTCTTGCCAAGCGGGTTCAGGAGGGTACAGAAATGGCGGTGCTGCGGTCCTTCCAACACCCTGTCTCTAATAGAAGAAGATACAGTCATGATTTGGAGTAATCCAGCAGAAGTCAGGGTGGTTGAATCGTGGAGCAAGAGACCACATACCAAGGTCCTCTCGTGGGTTGGCAAGACTCAACTGCGCCAACTAGGTATGGACCCGCAAACCTGGGGCTGGAGATCGGCAGGGGACGAGCCAGCTCGAAACTGATAGACTACTCAGCCTCGCACGGCTATCAGCAATCTCAAAGGCTATTGAAGAGCCCTGCCCAAATTGCAGTCCCAAGATGGCAGGCTGTTTGGGGTGAGGACTTATCTCATTCAGGTCAGGATTTCCTAAGACTGTGGAGGATTTTAGCAGCTCATCTGAATGGCAAACAGGCAAGTATCCTATGGTTACTCTCTCTGATTGTTACCCCATCTGCCGTATGGTTGGTCAGCAGAGGGATGGATGTTAGTCTGGGATGCACACGTTGCAGATGGTTATTCGAATCGACCCGTCATGTCTGGTGGGATCGCCCAACATCAAAACGAGTATGGAATTGGTGGGCTCATCATTGGAAGGAATTCGGGGGCCAGCATGTTCTTTGGGATGAGAGGTGGGTGTTACTGGGTTTTCTCCCTCCTGGCGTGAGTGGAAGGCGAGGTTGGGGGTATGTAGCCCATATGGTCAGAGGTCTGATTTGTGAAGTCATCTGGTCGGATAGGAACAGAGCCAGATTCCACAAAAGCTCTTTTTCTGATGTGGAAATCAAGAGACACATAAAGCAGGGACTGAGGCAAGCCATCCGCGTGGATTGGAGAAGGAGAACCAGGTCGGGCAGAGGAAGTCGGGGGCAGATCCGCGGGTTTCTGCACACATGGGCGAAGAACCACCAGCTGGCCGCGATTCACTCAATGAAGGGTCTGGTCCTATCAAGGTGGTTAATGGACTCCAGACAAGTGGACACCACTAGGACAGCAAACGAAACAGGAGGAGCGATAAAAGTAGCATAAAGAGTTGGCTGTGGAGTAAGGGCGGGTTGAGTAGAGGGCAGAGTAGGCAGACAATTAACCAGGGCACTCGGTTGCATAGGGCCGCAGTAGGCCATTTAGGAGAGGGCTGATAGGCAAGGGACCGGTGTGTTCCTGGTCCTCTTGGCCGAGTTATTCCCAGAAATAGGCGTAAAAATGTACCGTACGGATGGTAGGGAAATTATAAACAAGTAGTGTTTTTGAAACTGGTCAAGGTATGCACTTTTTGGTAAGTTACTCAGTCATCTCGCCATATCTATGGGAGTAGATCTGAAGCAGTAGCAATATGTTAAGCAGTCAGGGTATCAGGCGGGTTAGCCGGTGCAGCTGGCTTGATTGGATGGTCAGCTACTTAGTGACAATAGTATAATAGTAACGTTCTGTAGTACTAGGTTGGCAGGACCAAGGTCCAACAGGAAAGTTGAGTAGGACCTGGAAAGTTGGTAGCTTTTTCAACTTTCCGCAGGTGAAAACCTGTAAGCTAAGCTGGCTGATGCTGCCAGTGCATCCGGGTAGAATTGTGAGGTCCACGGCCTCTGCTTATTTATTTATAAGGAATCAAGTTAAAACAAACAAACAAACAAACAAACAAACAAACAAACAAAAAAACAGAAAGTTGAGGCCTGCATGCAGCGGTGTCGGAGGAAAATAACTGATCCAGAGGCCTAACTTAGTTGGTAAGGCTCGCAAGTGGCATTCAGGGGTCGTGGGTTCAATCCCCATTCCATTGGGCTCATGTACCTTCCTGGGCATGCTTGGTGCCCGCCACCTAGAGATAGACCACTAGATTCCCCGATCGACATTGAGCAGAGTCTGTTGATGTTCGTAGGGGAGGGGACCTGAGGGGAGGCACATGTTGGCATGGTCCCCGACGCTACCGGTTGTCCCCTAGCCGGTGTCGCGCACCTGCACGTTGGGAGCAGCCCCTGCATGTTCTCCCGTGAACATGGTTCTAGCTACTACGGGGTTCCCCGTATGCTTACAATTCGCAGTAGTGGTAGGTAGGTAGGGTAAGGTGAATTTGAGAGAAGTGTAAAGTTCTTTTTTATTAAAAAAAAAAAAAAAGATGCGAAACGCACTGCTGGTGGGGACCAGAGTATGATGATACAAGGTCGCACAAGCCGAAGCTATGAAATGACAAAGGCAAAAAAGTACAGTACAATTCGTCATAGATATTACAGTACAACCTCGTGCCACAAACCCAATAACCTCCTCTCGAACCGACAGACCAAGTTCGCGACCACTGACGCTAATAAGAGATTAGCATTTTGCGGACGACGAATTACCGTAAGAGGACTAACTCATTGTACTGACTATACTTATAGTCGTACCGGCTCGTTCTGTGTCGCCAAAACCCACAGTGGTACCACCGGTTCCTCGGTAGTATCTCTTCGCTTATCATCCTACTCCGAGTAAGGTTACCAGATCAAAAATCACAAAGAAAATTCTTTCAAAGCAACCCTCAAATACCCACTACATCATAGGTGTCCTAAGCATTCATAGGTGGCCGGCTCGAACCAAAGAACTCAACATTCGCAATCAGTCCTATACCGAAGGTAAAAGGATCAAAAACCAAAAACGAATCAAAACCAAAAAAACATCATTCAAACAGATCTTCAAGTCTATAGCCCTGTCCAAATATACTACCATCCAAATCAACAGTACACAACCTCCGTCGACTAAGCAGAGTCTCGTGATCAGCAACGAATGGTAAAATGTGTTGATATAAAAAAATATAAAAGTTTCACCACAAATACTAAATCTGACAAACTTTGAAAATTACTGCCTAAGCAAGGTAACTCAAAAAATTACTCAAGTAATTTGACTATTTGCTTCCAGACTTCATCCCTCCGGAAAGCGAAGCGTCTCAAGTTTGCATAAATTTTTTTATCAGGAAGTCCTTTAGTCTCAGTTCAAGTCACTGAGAAAACACTCTTCCAAGGATTGGGCTTCGAATAGAGGTCTTCTTGTCAATGCTGTGCAGATAGTTGTTGATAGTCGCGGTCTTTTGTTGTTTACTACCCCAAGACAAGTAGGACTGTCCATTTTTAATCTCCAGATCGCCTGTAGTCCACAAGCTATTCTCATTTTGTGAAATCTGCACACACTCAATATATGGGTAATTCTGTGTGCAGCGAACTTGGCAATCCAGAAATGCTAGCAAACCTGAGTCATCGTCGTTTTTTTTCAAATATAAATTCTTTGGGTAATCATCTAAAAACTTGTTCACCACCCAGTCAAGGGGTTTCCCTGACGAAGATGCAGCAATCAAAACCACGTCGTTCAACAAACGAATCCCAAAAACTTGACGACCATAACGTCCCAAATCTGTGACAAATTTATATTCAGCGTAAGCACACATTAAGCATGTCAACGAGAAGCTTGTGTTTTTTCCCATAGGGATACCCACAACTTGTCTGATCAACACCCTTGTAGCATGTGCATATGTATGACTTAGTTCAATGTGCAAGAACTTCATGATATCATCAAAGTGCAAGAGTCACCAATGGTCACCTCCACTAGTCAAACCGAAGGAGCAACTCGTTCATCTGGTGTTTCCCCTCACGAATTCACGTTCTTTCGTACGATGGAAACCCAAAACCCACTTTAAAGCTTTGACAATCTCAAGATGTGGCAAATGGTTGAACATATCCTTTATATCAAAGTAATATGCTGCCACTGATGGTCGTCTCAAACATTGAATCTTGTCATTGATTGTTTTCAGTCTCGTGGTCAGCATAGACACGACCGACATATTAAAATCATACTTGCATGGTAATCTGGTCAACATGAAATTCAAACTCTTGGCTACGACTCTTCTCGTGCGAACCATAGGTTCTATACACGTAGGACAGTTAAGGCGGTATCTGGTCAAATCCTTAGATTTAAGAATAACATAAGAGAATTTTATGCCACCTTTCCTATCCCATCTGACAAAAGATTTAACTCCGGCCGCATCCACGTTTTCACGAATCTCTCTCAGAACAACATTGTCGTGGACCTTAACCACCCTGTAACCCGTATTCAGGACGAACGCCTCCATCATCATAGCCTCATAATACAATATTGGCCACATAACCACGGTTTCGCCTAGGTTATGATCCAGGGGTGTTAACACAAGACCATAAAAAACCTTCTTAGTTTCCATAACGACATTCATCGAGAGCGCACTGGGTTGGATTTCCCTATCTCTCACAACACAAGCAAACAATCCCTCATCATCCACCTGAGGTACCTTACCACAAAGATTTCTCTAGTTACTGAAACTTTCACAGACTTCCGACTTCAACAGGCTAATCTGATCAAAGATCTCAGTCTTCGGAATATTGTTAGCATTAACTAACAAAGGATGTTCAATCATCTCCTTGCTCAAGCAAAAGTGAATGTGCCCATCCTTCCTCGGATAGGGTAGGCCTGCACACTGGCAGGTCAGCACATCCCGGGCTGCAAAGAGCCGGTGATTGTGCTATAACTCACCTACCATTCGGTTTTTCTCCCAAACGATATGGGTTTTTCTACGTGCACGTTGTGAAAAGCAAGTAGGCAAATCACACGTCATTAGCAAATCATTAACTACTTTACGTAACTTAACAAGTTTAATCTTGTCATTATACTTCACTCGAATCAACAAGTCAGCGCTCAAACTAAGGTCGAATTTGTCCAAGAAAACTCGGGACAATAATCTGCAAAGGTACTTTCCAGTTGACTTCTTCGAGAAGTCTTTCACAACACGATACACCCGTAGCTTAAAATGCATACCGCAACTGAAAAAACTAGAAAGTCTTTTAGGATTCTTCAGTAGAGAAATCAGAACCTTTCGAAGTCCTTTTTACAGTTCCTCAAAAAGCGAGTTTGTTACCGCATATAATCTTAAAGGCACCAAAAACTCTCGAAATCTTATTCCACGGTGTATGCCATAGATTTCCACCACTAATCGACAACTCCGGGGTACGTGAGTCATTAGATACTCGGATACGATCTCGAAGAGATCAAGCTTCCAATCATCGCTGTTTTTTTGCCGGAATCGTAGCGGCGCAACCGTCCGATAATTCCCTGCAGGCTGCTAAGACATCCTTGATCTCTCATTTCTGCCCTTACTATGACATCCAACATTTCGCTTAGGCTTAATTCCTGAGGTATTTAGTTAGGGGGACCACTGACTGATATATACCAATTAAAGTTTATCTATCTCACCTCTATGAATAAAGTCCATAGGGATGAGTACATGCTTCTCAATACGAAAGGAGTTAAGCCACCTGTAGAAATGGTTCGGGCGATGAGTACGAAAAACATAGGTATGCTCGCTCGAACGCACATCGAGATGTCTCGTGGATTTTCCCACATACTGCGATTTGCAATAAGGGGAAACCGCCATCTATACACACTCAGAAAGATTAATGAACTCAGTCTCATACAAGTCAAATAGTCATAACCACGATTCCATACACTTCCGATTCCATCGAAAGACCCCAGATATAGATAGGCGTACAATCGTTAGTCTAAGCAATTCCTCGACCTTGGCGTCGACACCTCTGTTAAAACCTCTCCAATTAGTAAGGCAATCGACACTATTCCAAAGATTCTGAACCGTGAAACCTCTTCACACTGGATTTTGGGTATCATCACTTACCATCGTGACTTCTGGCCGAGCTTCATTTGAAGTCCCAACCTCATCCTCATCCCCAGTGCCATACGCGAAACGTGTCCGTTGTGGTGCTATATAAAAAATCGCTTCGAACTTCCCGTTGTAAAGGATTCCTACATTCTTATACACGTTCTGTAGTACCAAAGCATCCAAGCACTTCAATTCGTGCATTACTTGTTTCTCAAACTTCAGACGTCCGACTGCTCCAACAGTGCTAGAATCTTCTTCTTCCTGATGAAACTTGGTGTCTTCCTGGTCTTCGATCGTGTGAAACCTGTTGTTAGATTCGCAGGTCTGCTCGCCTTAATCAGTGTACACTTCGGGGGTAACTTTATAAGAGGGTTGTCCTCGAAGACAAGTTCCTCCCCTCGTTTCCGCTTCTCTTTAATACAAAGGTTGCGAGTTGTAGTGCTTAGCTCCTTCGTCTCAGTGTTGCTTGCGCTGCTTTCAGAATCACTGCTCTCGTGGTACACTTGCTTCTGTTTTTCTTTCGTCACCGCCATGCACAACTCACTGATAGCATCACGTATCTCGTGTTTGATACCGGCACGCACGTTTTCACGCAGTTCATCCACTTGCATCGCCACCTTGATATCCATCTCCTTCTTCAATGTTTCAACTCGCTCAGCTTCCCGTCGATACTTCTCCTCCTTACCCCTTTCTTTTAGCTCAGCTTCTCTCCGCTCGACTTCCAAATGTTCAGCTGCATCCTTGCGGTCGGCCTTCCTCTTTTCCTTAGCTGCCCTCTTCTGTTGTTCATTCTCAACATACTGACAAACTGCAACAACGCTCCTCCCAATCTCCGCAACTTTAGATTGTTGTGGGTTGTTTGACGCAACACGCTTAGCATTTCCAAGGTCGACATCGATCGAGCACGATTTGCTGTCGATGATTGTCTGCGGGGATATGGACATTGGTTAGTGTAATGCCCATGTTTCCTGCAGTTGTAGCACGTCAAAGGACCTCGACTTCTCCCTCGCTCAGAGTTGCGTCGGTCCCCTCCATGCTCACGGTTTTCACGGTGGTCGCTCCCATACCGTCATCGGTCACCTCCGTAGTTGCAGTGCTCATCACGATCGTACTCGCGATGGTCACATAAGACGCCATCGATAGTACACTTCATCAAAAACAACCTCAACACAGAGATCGCCCTCGATAGCCAATAACAACAAATCTCAAAGGTGACGATGACACTTAAAGTTATACAAAGTCTCGTTGATGCAGTACCCAAAGTATCATCGTAACAACGTCTCAACATAACAATGAACCAAAACGTGCTCACTTACTCCGGTAACTTTACTCCGCAATAGTTCACACTCGCACTAAAAAGAGTATGATGATACAAGGTCACACAAACTGAAGCTATGAAATGAGAAAAAAAAAAAAGTGCATTACAATTCGTCAGAGATATTATAGTACAACCTCGTGCCACAAACCCAAGAACCTCCTCTCGAACCGACAGACCAAGTTTGCGACCACCATCGCTAATCAAAGATTAGTGTTTTGCGGACTGCGAACTACCGTAAGAGGACTAACTCATTGTACTGACTGTACTTATAGTCGTACCGACACGTTCTGTGTCGGCAAAACCCACAGTGGTACCATCGGTTTCTCGGTAGTATCTCTTCTCTTATTGTCCTACTCCGAGTAAGGTTACTGGATCGAAAAATCGCAAAGAAAATCCTTTCAAAGTAACCCTCAAATACCTGCTATATCATGGGTGTCCTACGCATTCCCAGGTGGCTGACTCGAACAAAAAAACTCAATATTCGCAATCAGTCATATTTCACTACCGAAGGTAAACGAATAAAAAACCAACAACATAAAAATTTTCAAGAATTAAATAATCATTCTACAGTAAAATTACATTCTAAATTTTAAATTTTCATTCCATCTTGAAAAATGTCATTGCAATTTAAAAAAAAAAATCGTCTTACTTGAACACTTTCCTTCTAAGAATGGGGTATCCCTTCTTATTTGAACTGCATGCCAGGTGCTAGAGATGAAATCAAAATCTTAATGAGTTCATGGAATATTTTAATTGGACTGTCATTCCAAGTAAGGATTTTCAGTCATAAATAGGTTCATCCAATACGAATTAGAAGATATTTGTTGTAGTAGAACGAAAGTTTAATTAAAACATTTCATAAACTCTTTCAGGCTTCCATTCCACCTTGAACAAATAAATGTAGTTAGAAGGTAAAACTCATATTTAAACGATAACTTATCAAATAAAGCTGAAAATTTAAGAATTGGATTAACATTGAAATTATTATTTATAAATATGAAGAATTTTTTCTTTCTGGAATGTTCTTTCAACTTTTATTTCTCGTGGGAATTTTTCTGTTGAAAAAAAAGTCAAAACAAAAAACATCATTCAAACAAATCTTCAAGTCTATAGCCCTGTCCAAATATACTATAACCTGACCCTTACCCTACTTTTCCGGTGTGCAAATTATGTGTACCTTGGAGAGTACAAAATTGTGCTTCTACGTGGGAACCGTGAAGGGAAAATTAGGTATGAGCAAAATTTGCTCAGGCATGTACATACTTTGAGCATTCTGGGATGAACAAATAACTTGCATAGACGATATTCTGGGTATACATGCAATTTTGACTCTGGGACTGGGTATAGAAGGTATTCCCAACCCTTTTTTTTTTAACCTTGAATTTCCCTGCACACCGTTTTTACCGAACTTGATGTGAGGGAGGTTCTGTTTCTTTTTTGGGGGGGAGGAATTTTCGAAAAGCTTCTGGAGTTGACATTTATCAACAGAAAAAATTCCCAAAATTAAATAATTATTCTATACTAAAATTGCATTCTAAATTTCAAATTTTTATTCCATCTTAAAAACGTCATTCCACTTTTAAAATTTTTTGTCTTACTTAAAAACTTTCATTCCAAGAATGAGGTATACCTTCTTATTTGAACTGCATGGTAGAGATGGAATGAAAGTCTGAAGGAGTTTATAAAATATTTTAATTGGACTGTCATTCTGTATAAAGATTTTTAGTCATAAATAGGTCAATCCAATCTAAATTAGAAAATATTTGACGCAGTAGAATGAAAGTTTAATGAAGATATTTCATGAACTCGTCCGGACTTTTATTCCATCTTCAACAAATAGATGTAGTTGGAAGGGGAAACTCAATTTTGGAACGAAACTTATTAAATAAAACTCAAAATTTTCTAATTGGACGAATATTGGAATGATAATTTTTAAATATGAAGGATTTTTTTTTAATGGAATATTTTTTCAACTTCCATTTCTTATGAGAATTTTTTTGTTGATTTGCGATTTGCCCCTCCAACGGCCGACTTACCCTGATATGCCCCTAAGTCTGTCACCTTTCATCGAGACCCCTGTTAGTGAGGGACACAACTTTTTGGAATACCCCTACCCGACCAACGATGCTATTTCCCTTGCTCCCTGTCCGATTTGCCCTTTTATGGGGGATTCATCTTCCCAAGATGCCCTCCAGCAGGGAGACGCTAAAAATTTGAATTCAACCCCCATACTTTTCTAAGCCGCCGCGCAAAAAAAAAAGTTGCACTCCATGTCATGTCCGCTGCTGCAATCCACCGTGTAGTGCATTCTTTAGCTACTGCGACTCACTACCGCCGTGGACGTCTGCTGAGTACGTTGGTGAAGGTAAGTGTTCTTCCCCTTTTTCCACGCCTCTCACTCTCTCTCTCCGTCCCCCCCCCCCCCCCCCCCCCCCCCCCAACCTCCCCCCCCCCCACACAAGTGTGGTAGTATAAATTTCCATGTTCTAGCTGTAGATTCATTTTGTTTTTATCATTCTATCAATGGAAGTACCATGAGGCCAACCGTGAGGTTGGAGATTTTTTTTTTTTTTTCTTTCTCTCACACACACACACGCCACAAAAAAAGTGCCCTGATAGCATCCCTCCGAGGGTCAACGACCAAAAGGACATACCGAAAGGATACACAGTACCGGTAGAGGCATATGAAAAATTCTTGTGCTTGTACTGAACGGCTACAACATAAATTTTTTCCAGAATTAAATAATAATTCTATAGTAAAGTTACATTCTAAATTTTACATTTTCATTTCATCTTTAAAAATGTCATTCCAGTTTTAAAATTTTCATATTACTTACAAACTTTCATTCCAAGAATAAACCCTTTTTATTTGGAGTACATGGTAGAGATGAAATGAAAGTCTGAATGAGTTCATGAAATATTTTAATTGAACTGTCATTTTAAGTAGGGATTCTAGTCATAAATATATTAATCCAATTTAAAATAGAAGATATTTGTTATAGTAGAATGAAAATTTAATTAAAATATTTCATAAACTCGTCATGACTTTCATTCTATCTTGAACAAATAGATGTAGTTGGAAGGGTAAACTTATATTAAATCGAGAACTTATCAAATAAAACTGAAAATTTTAGAATTTGATGAACATTAAAATGATAATTTATAAATATGAAGGATTTTTTTTAATGGACTGTTTTTTCAACTTTAAATTCTCGTGAGAATTTTTCGGTTGTTAGAGAGGAACTTATCAAATAAAACAAGAAATTTTAGAATTCGGCGAACATTGGAATGATTTATAAATATGAAGGATTTTTTTTTTTTTGAAATGTTTTTCAACTTTCATTTGTCGTAGGAATTTTTTTTTTGTATCCAGTAGGGGCATATTGTGTATCAGGCCCCAACGACGCCAAGTTTTTTTTAAAAACTTGAATCACTGTCAGAGGGGCATATCAGGGTAAGTCGGTGATCAAAGGGGTAAATCGCAAATAATGCAAACTTCAAGGGCATTTCGAAAACTTTTCATTTTTTTAATATTATTATTCTAGGCTACCAGAGTGGCCCGGGGTCACTTGTCCGGCCGGGCAAAAAAAAAACAAAAATATAAAAATATAAAAAATAATTTTATATTTTATTTTTAGTATTCTAAATTTTATGAAGAACTTCGATGTGACCCTGAGGCAAAAGTTGTTCAGTTTATTTTTATGCATAACATAGTTGTTTTTCAGATTTTTAGGTTTTTTTTTTATTTTTATTTTTTAGTTTTTATTTTATTTTATTTGCTAAGACCTTCCCTGATCCTTGCACGGGCTGGCCACCTGGGACCCGGACGACCTGGCTGGTAGCCTAGTTATTAGTTTTATTTTGATAATTTTTTGATTTATGCATGTCATTATTGTACATGGGTCATGCAAGCCTTCTCTGTATCGTTCCAAACTCAACAGATGCCCTAAAAAACCGTTTCGATTGAAAAAAAAGAAAAAAAAAAAAGGTTAATTTTTTAAGTCCAACAAATTCACTTACATGTCGAATCTGGACATGACGATTTTTCAGGCCTTTGTTTTTATTGTCATTATAGCCAGGGTCACCAGCCCGTACGTATGGAGGCCCCCGGGCAGACCTCCGTACGTACGGGCATTCGGGGTCCCGTACGGGGTCCGAACCCGATGGCATTCGGCCCCCGCCAAAAATTATTTCGGGGCCTAAAAATAATTTTTATTTTATTTTATTTTATTTTGTGAGTTCTCTATGACGTGAAGTACATGCCTGTAAATTTTCAAGTTATTTTGCTCAGCCAAATAAGAATTTAAAATCGCCAAAGATGGCGGGGTCAAAACGTGCTCGCTTATGTATTTTTTCACTTTTTACTTTTTGTTTTCACTTTAGTTCGGGATCTAAACAATTTTATTATTTTTTGAAACTTTTTTAGTGGGTTTTATATTATGTGAAGTACGCATCTGTAAATTTTCAGGGCATTTAGCTATGCCAAAAAAAAAATGAAAAATCGCCAAAGATGGCGGTGTCGAAAACATGCTCGCGCACTTACTAAGTTTAATTCTCTTTTTATTTTTATTTATTTTGACTATTATTATTTGTTTTCCGTATTTTATTTTTATTTTAAATTTGGTAAGGAATTCGGATGTAATGCTCCGACAAATCTTGTTTAATTTATTTTTTCTATAAGATATATATATATATATATATATATTTTTTTTTATGACTTTTTTTTTCTTTTTTTTTTTTG